TGTGTGTGTGTGTGTGCACAGACACACTAATGCAGCAATGAATCTTTAATGATTTGATTAAATTGAATAATTTTCTAATCATACTTTCATTATATGATCCCACTGACTCAAATTACTAAAATTTGTTAGCTTAACATCCCACTGGTAAACATTAATATGTATAAGAATTCATTAGGACAAACTTTATGCACTAATACAGGAAGCATTACGGAGTAGAACTAATACAGGAGACATTACAGAGTAGAATTAATACAGGAGACATTACAGTGTAGTCCTGCACCAGACTAAAGATGCAAAGGAAAATGAAACAACATGTTAACATTAATTCCCCTTATGAGTTAAACTGTGAAGTGGCAGCCTGTGTGTTCAGTCTTTAGTTGATTAATCAATTGACAGAAAATTAATTGATAATAGTTCCAGTTTTACAAATATGAGGATTTGCTGCTTTTCCTTTTTAATTATTTAAGCAATTTTAATTAATTTTGGACTACATGAGATTCTGAAAGTGTCAGTCTGGGTTTTGGGTAATTGTGACAGGCATTTATCACTAGTATTAGAATTAGTACAAACCAATCAATCAATTAATGGAGAAATATACAAAGTAATCCATTATGAAAATAAGCATAAGTTACAGTCCTATACAAAATATTTTAAAAATTATCTCTGGCTGAACTACTATCTTGCATTTACATTAATAAATGAGTAATAATAACATAATTATATATTATACAGTCACATGGGACATTTTTAAGTATGTTCTGATTATACTTACATACTTTTACTTAAACATACTACAAAGTCTTTAATTAATTTTAAATAATTTAATACTGATGTCTCTATGAGACTTGGCTATATCTATACAACTATTCCTAATGCCTGCCACTGGGTTCGAATTCCTTGAAATCAATAAAACGAGGCAGTGGAAACACTATCACTTTTGTCCACAGGGGCCGCTAGAGTCAACACAAAGTGAAATTTTCTTGCTGTTGGTTTAACAAACATTTTCAATGCAGGACTTTTAGTTGAAAGTGAGTATTTCTACAGGGTGGTATTAGTGCTTTTAAGGATGTAAATAGTTCCTCCACCGCTGCTCACAGGTGGAATTAACTGAGCCAGCTGTTTAAAACTGTGTTTTTTCTCTCAGAGCCAGACCAGGAGGCTCCACCCTCACCTGTACACTCCTTTTGGATTGGATTAGACTGCACATTATTGTCAGATAAACTCCTTCCAGATAAAATCACTAATTTTGTATTTTTCATGGAGGATATCGACATAGAAAAAGCACAAGTGTCAATAATAAAATGAATGATGGTGGAATTTCCCGTTTCAGGGTGCTGGTATTGTTAATGCTGGCTCACTGTCACGCTGTCATGGTTTACTGGGAACACCTGTGCCTTTTTTTATTATGACAAGTCAAAATGCCTGCTGTCAAAAAGGCCTGTTGCATTGATTGTACGTTTCACTTAACTGTCAGATTTTTCTAAACTTTGTCTTGACACACAAGAGAGT